GTGTGTGTGCGCACCGCGGTTAGCGTGACGCAGCGCGAAACCAGACTTCTTTTTTTCTTCAATGGAAAGCATATTTACACTGTTTGACTCGTTCCCTGTCCCCTATATAGTGCACTACGTGCCTTTCACTGTACAGAAAATACTAATTCTGTGGACAAGTGACCGATTTCAGCCGTGGCTTCAGCGTCTATTTTATAGTGTAGGGGGCTTCTAGAGAGCATTTGATTGGACAGAAAGTTTGATGAGAAGCTGAAGTACGATGTGACGTCAAAAAAATCGTTGAGCCGTTTTGGCGGAAGTGACGAACTGCAAGCTTTGAATGCTTATATCTTCTAAATGCGAATTTTGTCACTGTTTTGGAGCACACTGCCTTATAGATAACCTTAAGACTAACATATTGATACTAACACCCAAAAAACGTAAATTTTGATTTCATGGGGACTTTAAAGGAATGCATCAACCATGAACATAAAAAGAGATGTTTCATAGAATGTTCATGCTGCTCTCTTTCATCACTAGAGTGAATATGAAACTCCAGAAAGGGCAAAAAAAAAAACACCATAAAAGTAACTTGTGTGCTATTCCAAGTCTTCTGAAGCCATATGATCATTTTTTTTGAGGAACAAACAAAGCAAATGTACGTTTTTATCTTTTGACAATTTCCTCCATAGCTCACAAATCTCATTCACACAAGATCAGACGCAATGCTACTGATAAGATGCACTTAAATTACAGTCTGTTCCTTAGTCAAAGCTATTGTATAGCATCCGAAGCATTAGAATATAGTGTATGAGTCATATAGACTGCTTTTATGGGACTTTTTTGTCCTTGCTGGAGCTTGACAACCCTTTGTGACTTTGTACTTTTGGGGTATTTAAATATACTTTTGTTCTCCATGGAAGTAAGAAAGTCATAGGGGGTTGAAACGAGTAAACGATGACAGAATTTTCTTTCTTTTTTTAGCTGAACTATTCTTTTGAATGAGGAAGAAACTTCACACAGAATTATAGTCACATGTCAACTGATGTGTATGTTTGCATTTGTTCCTGTTGTTTGAAGTACTCTCTCACTCTCCCTATCCCTTCCTCTTTGTCTTTCTCTTCCTGCTACTACTCCTGGTTCCTTTAATTCTCTTTTCCTCTCTCAGGGAGGACTTTGATCAAGAGGAGAAGGCTCGCTTTGGAGAGCTGTGCACTGGAGAGAACGGCAAAGGCAGGGACTGGTTCGCCAAATATGTCAGTGCACAGGTATGAAAGCATCAATGCTGAGCAATCATGAAAACACAATCACTGCATCGCTCTATTCCGATTCCAAAACATTTGATTTTTAATTGTGTGAGTTATTATGGTGATGGTCATTTTGGGTGATGGTGGTGTGTAAACAGTGTCGCTGTTTAACTAAAACTAGTACTATTAAAAATTATTTTTGATAATTGAAATAAAATATACAGTGGGTACGGAAAGTATTCAGACCCCCTTAAATTTTTCACTCTTTGTTATATTGCAGCCAAAAAAAAATTAACTTAAATGATTTTAGCAAATGGCTGCAATATAACAAAGAGTGAAAAATTTAAGGGGGTCTGAATACTTTCCGTACCCACTGTAAATATTGAGGTGAAAAACTTAATTGAAACTAACTAACGTAATTGAAAATTAGAACGATTGCCTTTGTTGATTGTGTTTGTTGAAGCACTAAGTTGAAGTACTCAAGTGACTAAAACTGAAATAAAAAATAAAAACTACAAACGTAAAAAAATGACAAAAGCACATAAAATACGAAAATTAAAAATATACAAATATAAGCTAATTCAAAATATGAATAAATACTGTAATAGCATATAAGTAACACTAAAACAACACTGTGTGAGAACAGTCATATACATTTCTTCACCTCTATTTAACAGGTTAGAGTGTTCACACCGTACGTGTGAAAAGCAGCCGTAAAGCCTATTTCTCCTGTCACATACTAAATATAGCTAAACATTTTGCAAATGCACTGCAAACGTATTTAGCAACAGTTTTTGCAACATAGGATTTTATGAAGCAAAACAAAATAATGTAGCGAACAACACACCCATTGTTTGAAAAATGTGTTGAAAATTGTTTGACTACTTGGCAGTCAAAATTACCAAAATGCTTGCCAATATTAAAGAAAATCATATTTAATAACACTGTTAAATGTAATCTTTAGGAAATCTTAAAATGATTATCCATTTTTCATACTGTACATTATAATGTTGAGATGCTTTTAAAATCATTGTTTTTTTGTGTGTGTGTTTTATTTTTAATTTATTTAGTCTAGATTTTTTCTGTTATTTTAATAATTGCCATTTCTTGGTTGTCTGCCATAACATAAAAATAAGTATCGGTCATGGTTTTCCTAAAATGCACATCGCTATAAGCATCAAGCACAGTCTATTTAGACTAAATGTACCATTCGCATTCTCAAGTCTTTCTCAAAGATAAGAGAACTCATGCAATAGAATGTGCATAAACAAACACAGTTGTGATGATAACCATGCCTTGTGTTTGCAGCGCTGCCACTCCAAATGTGTGAGTGAACAGACGTTCTACAGGCTGGTGCAGTCCTTCGCTGTTGTTTTATTTGAGTAAGTACATCAGTGATAATATCTCAGAAGAATGCTTGACATTACATGGAAGCCAAACCAAACTGTTAAGAGCTAAGTTACCAATTTTGTGTAGAACTCTTGGCAAGTCATTGTGTGGCAAGTGTGAGACTCACAATATTTGATTGATTGACAGATGTCACCAGGTGGATGATTATGGTCCAGCCAAACACCTCATGACCATGTGCTTCACATATTACTACATGGGTAAGAGAGTTCACCGTTAATATTAAGCAAACATACTGTACAGTTGTGTAGAATATTAGAATCTGTTAAAGAAACGCCCAGACCTCCTCTCACTTCCTGTTACAGCCTATGACTCAGACATTACTGGCACTGCCTCGTATTGTTTCGAAAAACATTCACAGTGCTATTTTAATGTGATTTCAAGGGAGGTTGGTTTATATGACTTGTACAGTTGTGTAGAATATTAGAATCTGTTAAAGAAACGCCCAGACCTCCTCTCACTTCCTGTTACAGCCTATGACTCAGACATTACTGGCACTGCCTCTTATTGTTTCGAAAAACATTCACAGTGCTATTTTAATGTGATTTCAAGGGAGGTTGGTTTATATGACTTCGTATAAAAACTAGTGACGTGGAAAAAGATACATATACACTACCATTCATAAGTTTGGGGTAAAAAAAGATTATTCATCAAGGATACATTTACTTGTTCAAAGGTGACAGTAAAGACATATAGTATTACAAAATATTTATATTTAAATAGATTCAGTTCTTTTAAAGAAAATTCAGCTTTTCCATCACAGAAATAAATGGCATTTTAAAAAATATACTTAAATTGAAATGAGTACCTTAAATTGTAAAAATATTTCACCATTTTACTGTTTTACTGTATTTTTGTTCAAGTAATTGCAGCCTTGATTAGCATATATGTCTTCTTTCAAAAATATTTTAAAATCTCACACACTGCAAATTTTGAACGGTAGTGTGATTCACTGAATAAATTCACCAAGAAATGCAATTGTTTATTAATTTTTCAGTAACACTTTAGTATAGGGACCAATTCTCACTATTAACTAGTTGTTTATTAGCATGCCTATTATTAACATATTGGCTGTTTATTAGTACTTATAAAGCACATATTCTGCAGCATGACCATATTCTACATCCCTAATCCTACCCAATACCTAAACTTAACAACTACCTTACTAACTATTAATAAGCAGCAAATTAGGAGTTTATTGAGGCAAAAGTTGTAGTTAATGGTTTGTTAATAGCGAGATCTTAAAATAAAGTGTGACCAATTTTTCTTATTGAATAGTATACAAAGATGCATTATGTATCATGTGGTGCATCACTGCTAATTATTTGGAACCCTTTTGTTGTCATGTTAAGAATCGTTTTGGAATCAAATCATAACTCTTTAAATTGAAATCTAATTGTGCCCAGTGCCCACTCCTAATATACACAGTGTGTGACTGCCTAGTATGCCTTTTTAATTAAATTAATTTGAACTTCTAATGAATATATGTGTGTGTGTGTGTGACAGGTAAGTCCCAGCTATCTCCCACAGAGCTGCTAGAGAGGCCCAGCGGGGGGATCGACTCGTACCTGCGCAGTGGAAAGGTCTGGCTCTCTGGGAAGAAAGATATTGCAGAGCGACTGCTCAAAAACACCTCCGCTAAGACTGAAGTTAAAGGATTCTTTGGGGGTCTGGAGAGCAAATTGAGAGGGCCCTTGGGCCGAAAGAATGAGTGGGTGATCTTTTGTCATCGTTATTATTCACTCTTTTAATTAGTGACGCTTCTGCTGCTCACAAACTCTTTCGTTCTCATTCTGTCCTCCTCAGAGACACAGACAAACTTGCTGAACAGAAAACCAAAACTCCAGGTAGTTCACGATGTACCACCACTGTGTTTTTAATCAGGTCTTTTCTCAACTGTAGTAATCTCTTTATGTCATGTCTTCATCAGTTTTTAGATGTCTCACATAGGGGTTTCTCTATGTATATTGGTGATGTGACTGGTTAAGAATCTGGGTTGGTTATCCAAACCATTCATTAGCTTTCACCACTATGCTGTTGCGCAAGACCCTTAACCCACAGAGATTGTCTCTGTAGACGTGTAGGTGTTTGAGTTATTAACTGTGAGCTTATCTCTGTTTGCGTACCCTGTAGTTTCCCCCCCTCTCTCTCCGGATAGAAAAGAAGAGGAGAAAATCTACCTGTACACACAGCTAAAACAGCAGCCCATTTGGTAGGTTGTCAGTAATCTTTTTTTCCCTACATAATTATTCAAATTAACAGTTTAAGAAGTTGTTTTTGAAAAGTATCCTTTCATATAATCAGCATTTTAATGAAACATTCGTGTTATTTACATTTTTTATGGACCGCATTTGTGGCATCCTGTCAGTGTCTCAAGTTGTTTTAAACAGCTGTCACATTGGTTTAAACATATTTCATGCCGGAATAAAAAATTTAATTGGATTTTGAATTATTATTATAATATTTTTTTTATCATTTTTTATGTGAACTTAGTTACATTTAGTACAATAAATAATACCATACTATTTAAATATTTTACAATTTAAATAATATATCTGTGTCATATA